AATTACTTGAACTCTTGCACAGTTAAAAAGTAAAAATTCTCAATTTTGTTATGTCTAGAGATTTTCTTCATTTTTTTCTGTGGACAAAATTTTAAAAAAACCTCTAAATAAATGCAAGTAAATTGTCACAAATCCCTAATGTTCAAACCTCTGAGGATGTAGGTCTATAATCTTTTTACTACAATCTTTTTAGTATTATTCAAAAGTGCCACAGTGAACTCAAACCAACCTAAGAATTTCCCAGTAAACATAAAGCAAATAAAAAACTAATTGCTTTTCCTCAGAAAAACTCATATGCACGGCAGTTACCTGCATCAGACACAAGAATCATCTTGGTGTTTATGACAGGAATGGAAACCACGAGCATCTGCTCTTCACACTGGATGGTGTTTGGTTAGACTACAAAAAAGGCTAAACTGCTTGTAACGACTAACAAATATGCACATCATACCAAAGAACCCAAGATTAGTCAACAAAAATAAACACATTTCCTTTTAGAACGAAAATAAAAATAAAGGATCCTTCAGAAAAAAATAATATGCTCACAATAGTACTGTTTGAAAACATCTAGCCTGCGTGTATCACCTAAAGCATAGATTTTTAACTTATTCCTCAATTTAGGGACTACTAAGCTAAAATACAGATGCATGCAGATCATATAACACATTTAGCCAGTTCCAGGAGGGAAGAAAGCAGGGGGAAAAAAACTAAACATTAAAAAAAAAAATCCTCATCTCTTCTTTAAACTTGTTTGTGTTATAAAGAATTCCTCTCTCCCCAAGGGCAGCTGGAACTAAAATAAATCCTGGTTTCCTGACTCAAAATGCATTTTCCATCCAAATCTTGGAAATAAAGTAAAAGAGCAGATGGAAACAAAATTAGATCATAACATATAAAGCTCCAAGTTTCTGAGATGAATATAAAGAATCTCATGCCTAGTTTAAGTAACTATTTAGTAGACCAAGCACTGGTATAAGTAAGCAAGATGTCACACACACGCACAGATCTTCCATCACTGTAAGTGCTCAGGTTGTGAATACACTATACAGAGATTTAAACACAAAGATAAAACACCTTTTTAAAAAAGCACTGCATCATAATATCCCTCCCCTTTAGTCTATAAGGCACTTACACTATCATGTCTTTCATGGGAACAAAAGATCTATGTTCACGTAAACACATGAGAGTTAAGACAACATGCTTGCTATAAGGTCTGAGTCTATTTTTTTTTCTTTTTCAAGGCAGGGTTTCTCTGTAGCTTTGAAATCTGTCCTGGGACTCACTCTGTACACCAGACTGGCCTTGAACTCACAGAGATCTACCTGCCTCTGCCTCCCAAGTGCTGGGATTAAAGGCGTGTGCTACCACAGCCCGGCAGATTCTAAAAAGTTTTAAGTATCTAGCAACTCAGGAGTTCCCTTAGACATGGTTTTTAAAAATAATTTAATTTTGTTTATACTTATAACATTTGAGTGTCTGCCACATATGTGCAGGTGCCTGAGGTAGTCTAAAGAGGGAACTGGAGTCCCAGGCGGTGGTGATCTGCCCAAGTTGGGTGTCAGATCCCAATTTAGGACCTCTGGAAAAGCAGCAAGTGCTCTTAACTGCTAAGCCATCTCTCCAGCTGCCAAACGTTTGCTTACCTATCTAATAGTTATAGCGCAAACCTAGGTGATGGCTAGCCTTTAGTTTTCTTAAGGCTTTTATTTGTTTTGTTTTTATGCTAGAGACAAACTCTTGTTGGGTAACCTAGACTAGCCTAGAATCAAACAAACAAACAAAAAACCTGCCTGGCTTTGCCTCCCAGTGTTGGGATTAAAGACAGGCTCTCCCGCGACTGGCCAATGAACTGTGCCTTCTTGGGCCTGGAGAGGTGGGTCGAAGGTTAAAAGCACTTGCTACTCTTCCAGATGATACATGTTCAATTCCCAGCACCCACAAGGAAGTTCATGACCTTAACTACAATTCCAGGGCATCTGACCCTCTCTTCTGGCCTCCTCGGGTATCAAGCATGCAGGTAGTACACAGATATACATGCAGGCAAATAGCCATCCCATAATCATGGAAGGAAGGAAGGAGTAAAACTAAAGCACTTTCCCAAAATCAAGTGAGGTCATACTAAGGGAACCAAAGTTTTAAGAAGTCTCACAAGTATTTTGACTTTAAATCAGTTTCCTATGAAGTCAGCTGATGATGTTGAAGATGGAGAAAATAACAACCCACTGGATAGGTTATAGTTTCTGTGTACATTTTCTCTCTTCCTTCTCCCCTACCTTGCTTCTTATTTCTTAATTTCTTGTCTCTGCCCCCCGCCCCACAAGCTTTCTTTTTTTTCTTCTGAGAAAAGGTCTCACTATAAGAACTTTGGCAGGAACTCAAAGAGATCTGCCTGCCTTGGCCAACACACACACACGCACGCACGCACGCACGCACGCATACAGTGTGCTGGCATCTATTTTTAAAAACAGAGTCTCAAATAGTTCAACTGGCTTAGAACTCATCCTGTAGCTGTGAATGACCCTGAAGTCCTGATCCTTTTGCCTCTATTTCACAAGTGCTCGGGTTACAGGTAGCACCACAATGCCTGTTTCATGCATAGCTAGCAATGGAACTCAGGGCTTCTTGAATATTATGCAAATAGTTTATGAACTGAACTACATGCTAACCTGAAAACTCAGCTCCAATCAACACATTTTAATTGCTTACTGCTGAGAAACAATTAGGAGGAAGCACCTGGCTGATGAGGCACCCTTGAAAAAATAAAGCCTCTATAAGGCTCCAAGGGTAGCACAGCAGAGTTACCTAAATGAATGTTCTAGAGTAAATTCTTACTAGACAGATATCTTATCTAAAGCATTTGAAAGCTTTCAATGTTTAACAGTGAAAATTAAGAAATTTTCTACCAGAATGTAATATTTCTGAAATGGAAAACAACCTCAGTTTCAAACAGTTCTATAGGGAACTGTATACAAGAACTCTGACTTTCCTTAAAGAGAGGTTGAATTTAGCCAAGTGGTGGTGGCGCACGCCTTTAATCCCAGCACTAGGGAGGCAGAGGTAGACAGATCTCTGTGGGCTCGAGGCCACCCTGGTCTACAAGAGCTACTTCCAGGACAGGCTCCAAAGCTACAGAGAAACCCTGTCTCAAAAAAACAAAAGAGAGAGAGAGGGGAAAAAAAGGGGAAAGAGAGGAGATTATTCTCTAAAGTTCTGTCTTTGTTTTAGGTGAAACTGGCCACATACAATAGTTTTAGGGGTAGGTTAGCTTGGCCAGAAAGACGATTTACACGACTTAGGATAGGGGGTTTAGGCTATGCAGAACTAGTCACCTGAAGAGTAGATTCAACCACAGGCATACTCTAGACTCTGTTCTAGCATCTCCATGCCTGGTTTCTATGTGAAACTCTGCCCTGGTTAAGCCACAACTACTGGTTGAACTTTCTTCAGTGCGTTCTTACTTCTTTTAGAGAATTGAACCCAGCTTTTCTGTAAGAACAGTAAGTACTCTAAGTACCGAGTCACCTCTAACTTTCATGCTCTATTTTAAATATTTATTCACATTTTGCTTTGGGAAAAAAGAATTGTGACATTAACTATTAAAAGCACCAAAGAATAATAAAAATAAAAGTAATTTGTTTTTTAGACAAGGACTTGCTATGTAGTCCAGTCTAGCCCTAAACTCTCCTTCCTACCGTCTCTTATTCTCAAGTGTTGTGATTACAAGAATATGCCCAGCAAGTTTTTCTTAGGTTAAGTCTTTTTTTTTTAAATTTTTAAATTCATTTTACATATTAACCACATTTCCCCCCTCCTCCCACTTCCTCTGGCCTCTATCCACTCCTCTGAGAAAGAGTCTTAAGCCTCACATGGGGAGTCAACAAAATCTGGCATATCAAGTTGAGGCAGAACCAATCCTCTCCCCCCTATATGGAGGCTGAATATGATATCCCACCATAGGGAATGGGCTCCAAAAAGCCAGTTCATGCACCAGGGATAAATCCTGGTCCTACTGACAGGGGGCCTACAAAAAGACAAAGTTACACAACTGTCACCCACATTCAGAGGGCCTAAGTCGGTCCCTTTAAAGATGCCTGGATCGTATCTACACTATTACTTTATAGTTTTTTGTTTTTTGAAGACGTAGTTTCACTGTATAGCTCTCGTTGGCCTGGAACTTGCAGTGTAGAACAGACTAGCAGAGATCATCCTGCCTCTGCCTCCCAAGCACTGGGATTAAAGGTATGGGCCACTAAACTCATCAGCCCCTACTTTAGTTTTTCAAAATTAAATTTAATATAAAGTTTCATTCAGTAAAAATTTTTGCTATTACAAAATTATAAAATCAAACTTATTTTTAAAAACTATTTCCACACTCCTTTTTTGTTTGTTTGTTTTGTTTTTCAGTAAGCCTCTCATTATGTAACTCTGGCTGTCCTTGACTGTGGGACTTAGTACAAAACACAGAGTACTACTCTCACTGGGTAGAGCGGCCAGCCTCGAACTCACAGATATCCATCCGCCTGCCTCTGCCTTGCAAGCGCTGGTATTAAAGGCGGAGACCACTATGTCTGGCTATTTTCCCACTCTTATGAAGTAAATTAAAGGAATTAAAAACTAAAGGACAAAACTTAAAAAGAATTTGGGTTAAAACTTACTTTACATATAAATGTCTAACGTGCTAATTATAGTAGGAGAACAAAATCCTTAGTTTCCATTAAATTAACAACAAAGACTGGTTTGGTGGTCCATTTTTCAAGTGTTTTATATACCAGAAAAGCACAAAACCAAAAGCATGATTTAAAAAATATATCATTTTTATAAACTGATATTCGCTAAAAGATTAGTGCTTAATATACAAGGTAAAAGAGATCGGGATTCCAGTGTGCTGCAGCAGCCAGCCCTGGTGCTGCAGTTTCAAACATCTTCAGCACATTCTCTCCTACAACACCCTGCATTTCACCCCGGAGGAGGAATGCTGGCAAAGATATGCACCACATGGGATCTGATGTTGGACTCCACCACATGGAATTTAAGCTGTTGGGCCCTGAAACTTTATTCAGCAGTTGGAAACCATTCCACAGCTTTCCTCCTTCACCCTCCCACTTGCGATTAATGCACAGGCATGAACACCTATTGAGGAAAACCACACAGGACTTCAACCAGTGACTACGGTAGGCTTGTTCCTCACATATTAATTTAAATACTGTGTGTTAAAGTGTGATTCTAAAAGTCTTAATAAATGTAAAGTCATTTGTAGTATAAGTTTAATTTTCCTTGAATAATTAATTTTCAGCAATACTTTCATATATCATTTTATAACTTTAACACTGATGTAGATAAGAACTGGAAGCAGAAAAAGTTACAAATCCATTTTATTTAGAGATTTCAAACCCTGGCTATCTGATAGACTGGCATCTGCAGTGCAGCATCAGCACCTCTCAGTGACTGTGTGTACTTTAAAGCTGTCTGAAACATGTACTCAGCAGTTAAAGATCACTGGTGAACCTCAAAGAATCTTTCCAGTACATTCTCCAAAGTTCCTCCCTTAAAGTTTATGTGACCCTAGTCTGCAGTGGTACTGCTGCACTGTTCATAGTTTAAGCTTTAAAAGGCAAGATTACTAATTAAACAAGATAACCCATTACATTTACAAAATAAGAGAAACTTTTATTATACATCACTTAAAAGTGTTACTGTCTACTTTTTATGATGTTAAACTTAAGGTTTAAGCTTTAATCCTTGCCTCAGACTGCTTCTTTTACATCAATATGGATCAAGAGTTCCTTTAAAGCAGCAATGTTGAAATATGATATTTTTAACTCCACATGACACAGAATCACGGATCCTCGTGTTAACCATTTATATTGCAGGTATCCCAAGAAGACTTTGACCGTTAAAAATACCCCTGTTCAAGGCATTCGATTGTTAGTAAACTTAGCAATAATTCTTAAATTTCTTGGTAGGTAAGAAATAAAACTACTTTCTGAATTTTTCAGAATCTTCACTGGCACATAAAAAGCTGTTAGTATCTAATTAAGAACCACTAAGGGTTAAATAGTTGTTCTCTATCCCCTACTGCATACACCGTGCCAAAATATCCTCCAAGCTTTTAAATATTGCTTCGATAGTCTGCAGTTTTATTTCCAGGGGAAGAAAGAGTTTTTGTTCCACAGTTATCAGGTCACTAGTTACTTCCAGTCACTGTGAGTTTGCTGAAATGAAGACTGTGCATTCTACACTTCTCCTGCTACTGTTCGTGCCTCTGACACAGCCAGCACCACAAACTCAACTCGACTCACAAACTAACTATGAGTATGGAACAGATTATTTGGAAGAAACAAAATTTAGCCAGGACTATGAAGATAAATACCTGCATGGAAAAAATACTAAGGTATTTTAAATTTATATTCTAAAATGATACTCATTTAAATGCATATTATTCCCTTAATTTCAATATTTGATAAGTAAAGAAGGGGAAAGGCATTTTAAGATTAAAAATAACTGTATTTTTCAGATATGCATGATTCCTCAAATTAATAAGTAGTACCAAAGGGCAAACAAAAAGTAGCTAGAGAAACCAAAAATTAAAATTTAAAACATTAAGACTCTCTGAAAGCAGCAATTTATGCTAAATAATGCTACATGATATCCTATAGTTGCATGTTATATTGCCTCAAAAATAAATTAGGAAAAGATAAATTATAAGCTTATGTTTATAGAATTCAGAAAAATACAGTCCAAGGAAGTAAATATAAAAATATTTATTGGTTATGCATGCCAATTACATAGAATACCAACAAATAAAAAACTACAATTATTATGGGGATTTGTTTTTAATCACATTTAACAGTTTAGACTCCACCAATTTATACCAAAGATCTGTAATGATATGCCACTGAGTTATGGTTTTTATACCACAATGATATAACCTTCAGAGCAAAACAATTACTTGTGGTTTTTTTCTGGGCATATAGAAATACTGGGAGGAGAAGGAAGTTAACATAGCATAAAACTATATGCTGCCCACTGTGTGTGATGCACACATACACTGGAAAATTAGAGTCAGATACATAATAATATGCATTGCTTTAAAAGTTATTTTTACTACAAATCAGATAGTTAAGATTTTAAGATTAACCAGTCCAAACTCTTTCCCCTCCTAACTCACAATGAGCTAATATTAATGCTATAGTTTCTCTTTTCCAAAGGAATGAGTTAAGATGCTGGTATTATTTCTACCTATGGTTATAACAAAACAGACAGATTTCTCTATCAACAGCTTCAAATTAAAAATCAAACAAAACAAAAAAGGTTATAACCTATTGTCTTACTGGAATGATCTGAATCTATCAACTAACTGCAAGATACTTTCAAAATTCCTTGAACCTTAGAGCTTTCTGCTTAACTACATGGAGCTTTAAGCAGTTTTTCATCAATATAAATGTGTGGGCCAATATTTATGGGAAGTGGAGAACTCAGTGGGGTAGAGTGATGTTTAGGCAGTACACAGATGGGAAAATGAGGTTTAACGGCAAGGTCAGGAGCCCACAGAGAAAGCATGGAGCAAGCAGGGAGATAAAGGGAACAGTACCCCATATAATAAATTATAGTCTAATAGCAGAAAACACATTCTCTAGAAAGAAGACAGAGGTGAGGTGACAATCCCCAGTTATACAGTGTTAACAGCCTATACCAATGGCTTGATCAGGTAAAGAAGCTAGGATAAAAGGATCCATCCTAAGGCCAAGGCAGCAAGGCATCCGGGTCAGGAAGAATTTATTTAGCACTTTATGTTTTATACCTATGCTGTTGCTCAGAAGGACAGACACTGAGAAGAGGAAATCAGTTCATATAAAGAACAATAAAGAAAAGTTCCACATAAGAAAAACTTTCATTCACATTCAGAGAATTATCTCCTAACCTCACACCTAGAAATTCAATATATTAAATATTTATCAAATATTGAGTTCAATCCATGAAAACAAAAAAATAAAATAAAAAGCTGACTCTCTTACTCAGGAATGCATATCCTACATAGAGTAATGACAGTGTAATTTAATGAATAATGAAATGGAATTATGTATAAAATCTTAATGGAGTGCTGAGATAGTTTGGCATATAAAGTCTCTTGCAGCCATAAAACCCGTAGGCCCACATAGTGGAGAGAACTAACTTCTACAAGTTGTCCTTTATTAAATATGTATGTCACATACACATAACAAGAATACACATATACATACTTATATATACAGACATACACATATAAAACAAAATCTTGATGAAATACCTTCAACAATGACTATGAGGAATGTTTGTGATCCTTCCAGTTTACAGATTCCTGTCTTATTACACCTGATAACAAATTTCTAACTTTACAATAGGAAAAGGAAACCATGATAATTCCTGATGAAAAAAGTCTCCAGTTACAAAAAGATGAGGTTGTACCATCATTACCCACCAAGAAAGAAAATGATGGTAAGTATGAACAATTTATCATCTAGTAGTTTTGTCTTTTTGTTTTGTTTTCTGAAGACAGGGTTTCTCTGTGTAACAGCCCTAGTTGTCCTGGAATAAGCTCTTGTAGACCAGGCTGGGCTCGAACTCAGAGATCTGTCTGCCTCTGCCTCCTGAGTGCTGGGATTAAAAAACATGCACCACCACCATCTGGCCATCTACTATTTTTGAAAAGCATCTTTTAAAGATACAAATGAAGACATTTTACTCCTTGTTGTAATCAAAAGTTGTCTCAAGGCATATAAACTGAAATTTCCTCTTCAATGGTAAAATCATTATGGCTACATCGAGCGTGCTCATCACCTACCACTATACACTGTGAGGGAAAACTGTGGACTAGAAAACATTCAAGAAGATTCAGTAATTTGTCTAAACCTATCCTTTAGAAAACACATTATTTTTGTTCACATAAAAAATAAATTCAAAAGCCTGGCATGATGGCATACACCTTTATTAATCCCAGCACTTTGGAGGCAAAAACAGACAGACCTCAATGAGTTCTAAGTCAGTCTGTTTATGTAGCAAGTTTCAGGTTAGCAAAGACTACGTAACAGGCCTTGCCTCAAAAACAAATCAATTCAAGAAAGAATTAAAGGTTATTTTTCAAGTACAACCTATAGACTTACAACCAATATAATACAATTATTATCGTCAAGACACTTGGGGAAGTCAGGGATGTGGTGGCATACTGTGTGAGGCCCTAAATTCAATGAATAGCACTTTAGAAAGCAGCAAGCAAGGAAACACAAAGTAGAGAAAAATGACTCTATATATGTAACTACAATGTCTGCTTCAATTAAAATAACAGGAATATTACTGCAAAATAACAAGCTACAAGCCATACTGTACAGTTCTTATATTTGATTTATTCTTGTTAAATAACATAACATGATTTCACATGAAAGCATGAAAAAAATCAACCCACACCAGTTTCTGTCTTGCTAAAATAAAGTTAAAACGAACCAAAACAGAAAATACATCCTCAAAGTCTGGCAAGTATTTTAGTTAAAAATGGACTTAAATAATTGAAAAGACTCCTTTTCTTGGACAAGATGCCTCAGTATCATAAAATATCATTATTCTCTAAATTCAGAAAAAAAAACAACCCCACTAAAATTACTAATTTTTGATAATGCTAGGGAAGTGGATTCTAAAATGCTTATAGATACATATAGGGAACAATGAGAGTACAGTTGTGGAAACACTGAACAGTGCCATACAAAACACCTTTAACATGTTGGGGATACTAGCACAAGAACAAAGTCTGTGGACACAGAATCAAAAGATCAGACACAAACAGAAACACAAAGACATTTAGTATATAATTAAAGCAAGGAAAAGTACTCAAGCATTCAGTCACTGAGGGAGAAAATTTTAAATAATTGAGTGTAGGAGAACTAGATAGCCATTTGGAGGGAGATATTAGATCCATTTTCATAAAAAGAAAAAATAAACGTAAGAATGATCAAAGATCTAAACAAACAAGATGGGACTGGAGTGATGGCTCAGCAGTTAAGAGCACTGGTTGTTCTTCAAAAGGAAACAGGTTCAATTCCCAGCATCCACATGGCAATTCACAACTGTCTGTAACTAAAGTTCCAGGGGATCTGGCACCTTCACACAGACATACATTCAAGCAAAACCCCAATGTACATAAAAAATGAAAAAAAAATCTTAAAAATTACTCCACAAAATTACAGAAATAAAAAACTGTTTTTCAATTTTATTTTATGTACATTAGTGTTTGGCCATGGGTTTTGGATTCCCTGAAACTGGAGTTACAGACAGTTTTGAGATGCCATGTGGGTCCTGGGCACTGAACTTAGGTCCTCTGGGGAAGAGCAGTCAGTGCTCTTAATCACTGACTGAGTCATCTCTCCAGCCCCAAGAAAAAACTTTTACATCATATCAAGAACCAATGTTCATGCAAATACACACACAAAGCAGAAAAATAAACAATAATATTTTTAATTTTAATAAGAATACATTTGGAAAATGGGCAAAATGTATGAAGACTCTTAACAAAATGACTTTAAAGTGACACAAAATACATGAAAAGATGTTCAATCTCACTTTTAGTTAAAAAATATAAATGAAAATTACACTGATATTCCATCCTTAACCTGATTTTAAAAATTGAAGACAAAATATCAACATATTCCATGATCAAGATTGCACAATAACAAATATTTGAATATACTGCAAGAAGAAATGTGAATTAATACAACACTTCTAGACAGGAATATGACAGTATTTAACAAACTAAAATAGATTTACTTGTTCCCTTTTTTGGGGGACGAGCAGTGCTTGAGATCAAAATCAAGGCCAACTGTGTGCTAAGGGAAGCACTATTGCTGAGCTACATCCTAAGCCCTATATTTACATTTCGACACAGTCATCACATTTTATGAATTTTACTCTGAAGACCCATATCTAAAATAAAAAATACAAATGTAAAACACTAAAGTACTATTGGCAATTACAAAATACTACAAATAACTCAACAGCCTAAACACTGAACAAATGATGGCATATCCATCCAAGGAATACAATGCAGTTATAAAAAGAACAAGGAAAGGCTAGGGCTGTAGCTCATCTCATAAAGTGCTACATTAACATTCAGGAAACCTTGGGTTTGATCCCCAGAATCCACTATTGTTCACAGTAGTAAATCCTTGCAATCTCAGAAATATGAAATGTGAAAGTCAATAGGATCAGAAATTCAAGGTCATATTTGGTTATACAGCATTTCAAGTCAGCCAGACGCTATCTCAAGAAAATAAAGCAAAATAAAAGAACAAACAAAAAAGTGAAGAAGGCCTGTAAGAACATGGAGTGATTTCCAGAATATAAGTATGCAAAAAGTAAACCATAACAGACTATCTCTAACATGCTGCCTTCATATAAAAAAAATATCATTTTATAGCCGGGAGGTGGTGGTACACACCTTTAATCCCAGCACTCAGGAGGCAGAGGCCGGCAGATCTCTGTGAGTTCAAGGCCAGCCTGGTCTACAAGAGCTAGTTCCAGGACAGGCTTCAAAGCTACAGAAAAACCCTGTCTTGAAAAACCAATATATGTATATATAATTTTATAAAAAATATAATTTTTTTATTAAACAGCTTACATACAGCTGTTAATTTATGTGAAAAGAAACACAGAAGAGGAAATTTTCAAAAAACTGAGAAGGATTAAGGATTTGGCTAAGTGGTAGAGCACTTGCCTAATATGCGTGAGGCTCTGGATTAAATTTGGGGATTTAAGGCCAGTTACATCAAGGAAATAAGTGAAATCATGAGTAGAAGTGAAGGAGAACTGGGATGCGATAAAGATCTAGTTGTGAGTATATAATTTTTATGTAATCTTAATCAGAATGTTTCATATAAGCAAAAAAACACATATGTAAATAAAGTCAGTAAAGATAAAAACTTATAAAAACAATAGAAATATAAACATTAAAACAGTTAATTGTATTTTGAATTCATAACATAGAAAACAAAAATCTAATGCAACTAAATCCTAAATGCAGTATTTTGACTATAAACCTTGAAGTTAAAGAAGAGCAAATCAGAAGCAGTCATGCATTGCTTAAAGACAAAAATTGGGCTAGTGAGATGGTTCAGCAGGAAAGGCACCAACAGTAAGTCTAGTAACCTAAATTTGATTCTCAGGACCTGTATAATGAAGAAAGATAACCAACACCCCAATTTGTCATCTGATCTCCACTTCTGTAGTCACATATGTGTGCGAGCAAACATAATACACACAAAATCCTTTTTAAAGTACTACAAAAAAGAGACAAGGCTACATTGTGTTTTATACTATACATTAGGTGATTTATTATGTAAACACTATAGACTACTTACACATATCTAGATGGGACAGCTTATTTTATATCCTAGGCTATATAGTGTGAATGTGCATATGTATATGGAGGTGAGTGTTAGACTGTCTCTTTCATTGCTCCTAGGGGCATGAAGAAAAAAGTGAGACTAAATTAAACACAAAGGAAAATGTAACAAGAGATCCTGCAGATGCAAGATACACAATGGGTTAGAATAATCCAGCAAGCCAGGCAGTATGGCGCAAACTTTTAATCCCGGCACCAGGGAGGCAGAGATAGGCGGATCTCTGTGAGTTTGAGGCCAGCCTGGTCTACAAGAACTAATTCCAGGACAGGTTCCAAAGCTACAAAATAACCCTGTCTAGAAAAACAAAACAAAAGCCGGGCTGTGGTGGTGCATGCCTTTAATCCCAGCACTCAGGAGGCAGAGGCAGGTGGATCTCTGTGAGTTTGAGGCCAACCTGGTCTACAAGAGCTAGTTCCAGGACGGACTCCAAGGCTACAGAGAAACCCTGTCTCAAAAAAACCACACAAAAAAGAAAAACAAAACAAAACAAACAAAATCAATAAATAAATAAATAAAAATTAAAATTAAAAGCTCAATGGGAAAAAAAAAGCTCAATGGAGGACCAATGTTCTGGATTAGTACTTCCCAACAAGCTTGAGAGCCTATGTCCAATCCCTGTAACTTATCCTGGAGGAAAGAAATGGCTCCTCCTAGGTGTTCTCTGACCTCCATAAGCATGTCATAGCACACCCCCGCCCCAATAAATAATGATAAGACAACTAAAAGAACATAGGAGAGTACAAAACCAGGCTTTTATTATATGGCCAAGTAGTTGCTGGCAATGTGGAAATTCAATTAAGAAAAATAAAGTTTCAAAAAGTCATGCTGAAAGCACCAACGGAATAAAGACTCTTGCTTATTACTGATATCATATTTAAAAGTTAACTCTAGGGTCTGGAGAGATAACTCAGTGGTTAAGAGCACAAGTTTCTCTTCCAGAGGGACCCAGATTCAATTGCCAGCGCCCACATGGTGGCTTACAAATATCTGTAATTGCAGTACCCAGAGGGGTCTGAAGTCCTCTTCTGACCTTTTTAGGCACCAAACATGTGTGGTGCACATACATGCATACAAGTAAACATTCATACACATAAAATAATAAATATTTAAAAAGTTAACTCAAAATGTTCAGATTTCTTTTAATAAGTTTAAATTTCCAGAACAAACAAAGGATAGCACTGTAATGACTGCTAAGATTTTCATCTTAAACCTAAAAGTTCATGCATTGAAGGTCTGGTCCCAGCTGACTGTTGGGAGCTATGCAGCCCAGTCTCTGATCAGCATTATGACTACCTGTCCAATAGGTTTCCTCTGGGTAAGGCACCTGTGGAAATGGACTTGAACTTGGCAAGGACCAGTAGTGCACAGGACAGTACAGAGTTTTGCAAAATTCGTGCAGTTTGTAGGCTTTTTTCTCTCTCATTATTCTTGATCCTTTGGGCGTTTTTTAGTATTATATTGTCAGTTACATATGCAACAGTTGTAATTTCCAATTGAAATTCTGTTCTGTCTCAAATACTTTCCCCTAAGATTCAATCGGGATGGGGATGTGGTGATTAATACTTCACAAATCACTTATCTGGAATTACTAACTACAACTCCTAATCCTTCTATCTCTATTGAGTTAAATACATATGAGAAAAACAACACTTGGAACAATAACCATGTTTCATTTCTGGAAAGGAGAGTAAGGCATTCATGCACAGGTACATGGTGCTGGTGGTGCACGCCCTTGCTGAAGCAAGCAGATCTCTGAGTTCGAGGCCGGTCTGGTCTACAGAGTCAGTTCTAGGATGGCCAGAACTGTTTCACAGAGAAACCCTGTCTCAAAAAAGAAAGGGGTTGGAGAGATGGCTTAGAGGGTAAGAGCACTGGCTGCTCTTCCAGAGGTCCCGGGTTCAATTCCCAGCAACCACATGGTGGCTCTCAACCATCTGTAATTAGACCTGGTGCCTTCCTTGCCAGCAATACATTGTATGCTTAATAAATAAATAAATCTTAAAAAAAAAAAAGAAAGAAAAGAATAGGGAATAAAAAGCCCCAGGATTAAACACAGTGCCAACTGTTGAAAATAAACTCCCTGGACACCAAGTACGAAATCATTGGTAGGATCTAGTATGCTCCAAGAGTAAAAAATACACTGTAAAATATAGGATGGGTAGGTCCATCTTTACCATACACAGTTTATATTGGTGGGAGAAGGGCAAAGTATGGTATAGTGGATTGGAAAAGAGCGCCTTATCAAAGACTGCCTATACAGAGATTGAGACATGGGACCCTCTTGTAGAAAAGGGAACTGTATAAAAACATACCTTGGAGACATAAAAGAACTGTCTGGGTTTAAATATTGTATTGTTTTCTTTAAAACATTGTGCTCATGTCTTATTATTTTTTAACTTTGTGACAAGTAGCTGCCAGCTGACATAAGTGCTGTAAGAGAAGAATGTGTCTGGCTCGATATTTACTTAAGTCTGCAAAAATGCTGTATTCCATGTTTACAATAAGGTTATGAAGGGATTGGGAAGGTGTTATTTGGAGAAGCATAAAGGAGAACAATGGAGGCTTTCATAATGATTACAGTGTCTTCCTTAAAATATGATGTGGTTATTAAAAAAATAGGAGCAAATAATAAATCTGTTTGTGTAACCCTGGTAAGGAAAACTTAAGTATAAAGACAGCTCGAATTATTGGGGCCATGGAGTGCAAACTACTTGGTGGTCAAGTTTCCTTGTGCTGATGCCCCTTCCCCACCTCAGGACCTGAATCCAAGCCAAGGCTGGACCCTGGCAGCTGATGATGGTAACTTTTAGATTTACATTTATTTATTGTGTGTGCCATGACCCAACATCAATTAAGCCAACTGATGATGGTAAAAAAACTTCTTAAACTGAGCCAAAAAGTTCCACCTTTAAATTGAAAACTTAATAAGAAGGAAAATAATACAATAGAAACTTTGGGGAAATCACATAATCACTAGGAAAATGAAATTAAAACAATTAAGATACCACACAATATATATTATCTGAATGGCTAAAATTCAAAAGTCACTTAGCTTTCTTATCATTAGGACAAATGCCAAAGGGAAAAAGTTTATTCTAATTCATGGTTCTAGTCCAAGGTCAGCTAGATCCACACACCCACTGCTGTCAACCCTACTGAGAAAGCCTTATACTTTTCAAACAATAAAAGATATAGGGGATGGGGACAGGGTAAGAGGAGTGGAGAGGGGATGACCAACCAAGAAAGCACTCTAGGTATCTAAATAAGAGCCCAAGTGAAGACATTCTAAGTGAGACATTCCAAGGTAGGATCATAAAACTCCAGCAATGAGTGATTTTCAAGTTAATGGTTTGTTCCTCTCATTTGGGATCTCTAAAGTCATTAACTATTGTCATCTATTTGAAAAATGTTTTCAACACATCAAATTTGAAAAACATCAAACTTGATAAATCAATTCTAAATTCTGCACTGTACACTCCACTCATTTATTTATTTATTTATTTATGTTTTTTCGAGACAGGGTTTCTTTGTATCTTTGGAGCCTGTCCTAGAACTAGCTCTTATAGACCAGGCTGGCCTCAAACTCACAGAAATCCATCTGTCTCTGCCTTCCAAGTGCTGGGATTAAAGGTGTGCGCCACCACTGCCCAGCCCTATTTGTTTTTCACATTCAAATGAAAGGTAGCCTTCCATGAGGTGAGCAATTCGACAATCACAGCAAAATAGAAGATAAAAAGGGGGCCAGCAAGATGGCTCGGTAGGTAAGCCTGACAATGTGAGTTTAATCCACACGGTAGAAGGAGAGAACTGTCTCCTGCAGGTTCTCTGAGCTTCACAAACCTAGTGTGGTATGTATGCACCCATAGATTTACACACACATACAATAAGAATAAATAAATATAAGAATAAATAAGATATGTTGACTATAGACTATGTAAAATTCTGATGAATTATTAAGCTCAATACAAGATAGCTGTTGGTTATCACAACTATCTTTCCTGATTTACCAATGATTCTGTAACATACCTTTTCAAATCACAGCATTCATTAATTCATTATAACAATAATTTTACAATCAGATGATGAATTTTTTCAAATGAGTTTATGCTTACAATTTTGTTTCCTAACTTAGAAATGCCTACATGCCTGTTGTGTGTCTGTTTAAGTGGCTCTGTCTACTGTGAAGAAGTTGACATTGATGCTGTGCCACCATTGCCAAAGGAATCAGCTTATCTTTATGCACGATTCAACAAAATTAAAAAGCTGACAGCCAAAGATTTTGCAGATATGCGTAAGTTTAAAATATAAAAGCACAAATTTCTGTCTTTCACTTGCTATATTAAGTCAGCACTATTGAAGCATTCAAGTATACTACATACACTTCATAAAAATTAATCTTTTTCTCTTACTAGAAGAATCTTCTTTCCATACAGACTTCTGTGATCATTCTTTACTATTGATTTTGCTATTCCATCTAACATAGGTATCATCTTACGACCAATACTTCAAAATACACACTACCTCAGATGGTTCATAGTATCAGCATGACCAGGACGCTTTTCCCTCCAATTAACTAGATACTTTTCCACTTTTACCATAAATACACAAGCTGCTTTTATTTTCCTTTTTTATTGTTTGTTTGCTTATCTATCTATCTATCTATCTATCTATCTATCTATCTATCTATCTAT